TTTCAGAAACGAAGAACAGAGGTATGGTTCTCAAAAGCAAAAGAAATACAGAAGTAAAAGGTCAAGAACAGTGGCAAGAAAAGTATTAAAACAGTACAATTGTTCAAGAAATGAGTAAAATCATGGAAAAGACGCATCCAGATGAATAGTTCAGCAAATCAAATGTTTGAACAGCGCAATAATGGCAGTAAGTAAACAAAAGCACATAAAAGAAATTGGGAATAAGAGGAACAGAGGCTTACCAGAACAAATGAAGCCGGAATGAAAGTCGTCGAGGTAAGGCAACGGTTGCAAACAAGACGGAGCAACGAAAGCTTCGCTGGAATGGAAGAATGAAGGCAGTTGCAGAGCTTGGAGCTAGAGCAATGGTGGGTTTGAGAAAGTTTAGAGAGAGAGAGAGCCAGAAAATCGAATGCAAAAGTAAAGAAATGAAGATGGAGAGAAAAGTTTTGTAAAAAACTTGAAACGGCGGCAAAAAGCAGGGCATTTATTACGCCTGGAGCAACGCACACGTCAGACGGCGCAGATGGGTGAAATACAGTTTTCAGGCGCGTCATAGACACGGGCCAATGAGGATAAAGCACGTAAGGGGAACGGTTGAGAAAAGGTACATGACAGCTCATGCGCGTGGAGGAGTTCGTTTGAGTTCTTGTTCTTTGATGAAGGCATGTCGGCCTAAAATGAATGATCTCGGCCGAAGGGTTCTCACGCCGAGGTACTGGAAGAAAATACAGATATAGGTTCCATCACCTCAGAATGCCGAGGTAATAGAACCTAGGGGGCAGTTGTGGGGATGTATTTTTTGAATACTAACACGTGGCATGGTGATGCCGACGTGTCAGCCGAGATGCCACGTGTCCTGGAAGTTATGCCGAGGTTACCTAGGCAAGACCAAGGTGATCTCCGAAGATATCGGAATCCGAGATAAGCGGATAAATGGATAAGGGGCAAGAGTCCTAGAGAGAAGAGAAGACTTTGCTAAGATAAGGATAAAGCTCTTAGGGAGTTTATCTTTATCTCTTGAGGAATCCAAAGTAAGCACTGAATTGGAGTTCATAGAAGTCAGGCTTCTAGTAGGACTTGGATTGAGTAAACTATAAAAGAGAGGCACCCCCGTGGGTCTAAGGTACGCAGTTTTATACTCAAGCTTGTGAGTTTAGCACTTGATTATCTTTCAGAGATATACTGACTTGATCGTCGGAGTGCCCCCGGGTGGAGGAGCCACCGCCGGAGCCTTTTCTTTCTGTTGCAGGTTCCTTGAAGCCATCTATTCTGCCGGTGCTCTCCAGCTGATTACTAAGCGGGCAGTGTGGTCAGAAAATTACCCACACACAGACTAAGGGTAAGATAGTAGGTAAGATGCTTTTTTTACTATGCGCAAGTTGGGTTTGAGTCATACTTGGTGCATGATATAACTTTTCCATCCCTTATACTCTATTTACAGATTGAAATATATATATATATATACATATGGAAAATGTCTCGTAGCTCAAATTTTGTGGCTCAAAAGTGGCTCAAATGGCCAAAACGACGTCGTTTTGGCCATTTTTATGTTGTTCTGTACTCAAAGCAACGTCGTTTTGGCCATTTGAGCCACAAAATTTGAGCTACGTAGCATTGTCGTATATATATATAGCTGGAGCAATGCACTTGATTGAACTAATAGTGTACATATTACCTCAGCTTTAAATAAATATATCAACGTGGTTATATATCGATTAATTAGGAAAAATTAATGAAACATCTATCTCTAACTTTGGTAGTAGGAGAGGTCTAATATATTTTTTCTTATTAGTTAAGGTTCCTCAATAATATTATTTAAGAAATTTCAACTCGTCACAAAATTTCTTTGTGATGAGCTAAAATTTCTCTATTAAATTTATTTTTGTAAATAAAGAAATTTCTCAGTGAATAATTGAAAATTTCTCTTTTTGTGAAAATGTTAAAAATCCCAACTGCTATAAAAATATTTCATATCATTTATCTCATAAAATTCTAAGATCCAGGATCTTAAACTAAAAATCCCTTAATTAATATATCTATAAATATCAATATAATTTTAATACCATAAATATTTAAAACTATGCAAATGTTACTCAAAATGTTTATTTGAAAATGTAGATAAGGGTTTGCATGCACTAAAAGCACTTGGTTGTTAAAAACCTTAATACTGTTTATTAATTTCCAATGAGTTTGAGATGCTGTCAATTATCACAGTGCAACCACTAACCAGCCTATGTTGCTAACTAGCCTATGTTTGAATCAACCAATGAGTTTGATTCAAAAAACTAACTAGCCTATGTTGCTTTAGAGTATCTCTAACGGTGAACTTCTTTTTTCATTAAATCTGAGAAAAAAAATGATGATTTTCTCAATTTGATACGAGGCGCTCCAACGGTGAGCATCAAAGCAGAATTGAGGGAAGTTATCGACCGGTTAGAGCAATTTATTTTTTTTTTACCTGTTTGAACCTTTTTTGACCGGTTTGAACCTACCTATTTGAAAGGAAACCGGTCGACCGGTTGGTCAACCGGCCGGGCAACCGACTGGTTGACCGATTCAGCTCTTCCAACGGTCAGGAACAGTAATTTGGTAAAATTAGTACTTTGTTCTCAGTTTGATGATTTTTTTATTGAATTCTCATTTTGATATTAATTTGGTGAAACGGTTGGAGTACTAAAAAGTATTTTTTTCACCAAAATTTAAATCTGATGTCAAAGTTAATTCACCGTTGGAGATGGTCTACTTTTGTTTCCTTCTTTTCTCCGAAAGGACAGTCAGCAGTAGGGAATCCTAAGATGGACAAACCCCAATTACAAATCAGTAATGGAAAAAAGATTTGTTGTGCTACACTAGTGTAGCTTTAAAAATAAAAACTAAAAGATAAAAAGGAGTCTATTTCATCTTCTGATTACATGCCTGGTGATTTTATAAATTTTTTCCTCTATTTTTAACCATTCATCCAGTGATTTTTTAAACTCATTTGTTGTTAATATATTATTTTATGTCTAATTTTAGACATAAATTAGTTTTAAAAATACATTTAGAAAATTTTTGAAAGACCAAAATGGAAAAAAAAAATTAAGAATGAAATTAAAAAATGATCAAACATAAGAAAAAGAAAAAAAACAAAGTGTAATTTACCTAAAATATTACATCAATGATACCCAACTATAATATTCAAATATGAACATAATTGGAAAACGCATGATCAGTCACAAATCTGACCCAATTAATCTACTTTTGTGTCACTTAAGCATCAAACATGATTGACATATAACCCTGTGGAACATTGCCGAAAATGGGCCCCTCTCTCTCTCTCTCTCTCTCTCTCTCTCTCTCTCTCTCTCTCTTTCTCTCTCTCTCTCCCCCTTATACTACAGATTCAGTTTTGAGTAATGTTAGGATTAAGAATTCAGATAGGAAAATATGTTAATTTCCCTTTTCACTTCTATAGTTTAATTTAAATTTTATTTTATTTTTTATAATTTTAAATTAATCTAATTTATTCCTTTCACTTTAAGTGTAGTTTTAGGAATTGTTTGGGTTAATCTAAATAAGTGTATTTTTTGACTTTTTTATGAAATATGAGTTGGGTTTGAAGTGATGTGATAGAGAGGTGATGTGACTTAAATAGAATAGTGACTTTTTGACTTTTTTAAGTTATGATAAATATAGCCTTCATTTGATTCTTCTATCCAAATTGAAAGTTAAAATTGATAATTTTAGGACATTTTTTAATTTTCTAAGGTACACAAGACGACAAAATTAATAAAAATTTAGAAAAAATGACTAAACTAAAATTAGGCTTAAAGTGTATAGACTAAATTGTTCAAAATGAAATAATAGGGATTAAAGTGAACATTTGAGTTCGTTAGGGATAAATTTTTTAGCCCAATTTTTTAGCTATTTTAGCTTGGCTTAAAAATTTATGTTTAGGATAAATTTTTAGCTTTTTTTTATTTGGATGTAAAGATTGTGAGAGAAAAGTAAAATAATTATGATTTGAATGTGATATTGTATCTTATTTTACTTTTTTAACCAATTTTGTCTTTTTATAGGTTAAATTAGCCTGTACCCCAAACAACTCCTGTAACTCTTACCATATAAAAATTGAATTTAAGCCATACATCATTTTTCTGAATTTTTTTCTATATTTGAATTATGAATTCTTAGCATTCTTGTTCAATTTTGCACTATGGGGATGATTGTTCCCACTAGGGTCGTGCACAAAACCGTCAAAATCGCACCGAATTGCATCGAACCGAGCCAAACTGCATCTTTCTTTGGTTCATTTGTGCATACAAGATTCAGTGGATGGTCTTCTCAATTGGTGGATGGGTGGAAAATTCAAGAACCTTGAAAGGAAAATTTGGAGAGCTATCCCCCTCATTGTTCTTTAGTTTCTTTGGAAGCATAGGAATGAATGTATATTCACTGAGGCCCAACCCAATTTCTCTGGGCTAAGTGAACCCATCAAAATCAGAGCAGCATTTTGGCTCAAAGCATCAATAAAGGATTTTTCCTACTCAATTGATGATCTAGTTTGCAAGTGGAGATAAATCAGGAGCTGTTTTTGAATCTGCAATTGGACTTTGTTTTTTGTTTTTGTTTCCCTTTCTTCTTCTCTTTTCTTTAGTTGGTTCCTTATCAACAATGGGGTGTGCTTGCATTTGTTTGAGATTCTTTGTCTGGTGCCAATTTTATTGGGCTTAGTTTGAGAGTTCTTTTGCTCTATGCTCTCCCATCCCCTCCTCTTTATTGATTATATCTCTATTGCTTTTTGTTATAATCAATAAAGTTTTTTTTTGCCAATCAAAAAAAAGGATTGGCAGGTTGGGTGTCCAGAACATGTAAGTTGGTGCGGGTGGCGGTTGGAGGAATGCAACCCGCCCAATCTAACCAACCCGACCCGCCTACTTTTCTTTTAATAAAAAAATTGTATTATATATGCGTATACACACAAAATAGCACAGGCTCCAACATTTACTTACACCCCTCATCTCGTCTAGCCTCTATTGCCGTTCATCTGGCTTCTCACATATCCGTGGTTGTACTCTTGCTAGTTGTCGTCGTTGGCCTTCCTGGCGCTGCTTTTCTGCTCGCCACTGCTGTTTTTTCCGGATTTGGTACATGGCTCTCTCTATGCTCTCTCTCTCTCTAGTTTATATTTTCTCTTTTCTCTTTGTCTCTCTGGTTTATGTTTTGCCTTTGCTCTTTCTTTGGTTTATGTTTTCCCTTTGCTCTCTCTCTCTCTCCAACGATTGAAGCTCTATCTTCTATATCTCATGCTCAGTCTGGCAGCGGCGACTTCAACTTCTCAATTCTCACTCTTAGTCCGACGGTGAAGCTCCAGATTTCAGGTAACTACTCTGTTTTAGGGGTGGGCAACAGTTTATCCGAACCGCTCAAACTGCCCAACTCGCCCAACCCGCATATAAATGGGCGGTTTCACAAACACAATGCGGGCAGATGCGATTTGAAATATGACACATTTGCGGGTTGCGGGCAGGTCGCGGTTTAAACCCACAACCCGCAAAAACCGCCCGCACTTTAATTATTATTATTATTATTATTTTTTATATACCAACTTTGTAACTTTTACAGGAACACCATTATATTCTCTATGATACTAGGATTCTTATTTTTAAATATTTCTCAACTTTCTTAATGCCATAGAATTATCAAGTCCTAAACTTGGTTTCTTATATGATTTTCATTGATGATTCATCCACTTTTTCCTAATAAAATTTTCCTTCTGGTGATCGATGGAACTTCTAGTTTGATTATTGATTACTGAACTAGCAATTCTAATTGAGTACAACCTTTAATGCATTGATATACATTTTTTTCATGGCAAAAATGCTAGTGTAGGGCCTCTTTGTTTTGGGTCCTTTTATTTAATGCATTGATATTCGATTTTTATTTGTAAACTCATTAGAAAATTGTTATCACAAATATATAAAATGAATCTGATACCTAAATTCTATGGGGGAAAAAAAACTCAAAAATTAATTTTTAAAGAAAAAAGTATAAATCGCAAACCGCCCGCAACCGCCCGCACATTTACAAACCCTATCTGCACAAACTGCAAACCGCACTATGGGCAGTTGTGGGTTGACTTTTTCTCAAACCGCATAGATGCGGGCGGATCAAAACCGAACCGCAAACCTCACAAAACTGATCCACGAACACCCCTACTCTCTTTTACAGTCTACTGTTCATATGGGTCTTGCTCTATTTACTACTTTTTCCCCCCTGCTTTGACAGTTTTTTATCTATTTGTGTGATCTTGATTCTTGAGACAACATATTAACATAATATTTTAATGCTATGAAATTACTAAAAAAATATCACTGATGGTCAAAAGAATAGATTTTTTTTCATTTATGTTGCCTTCACTGTTCCATGAAACCTTCTGATTAAAGAATAAGTTCGTAGTGTTGTTGAATTGTAAAATAATAAAAATACAAAACAAAATTATGTTTAGAGAGAAATAGAATTGTAAAATACTACTTATTTTATGTTGATAAGAATTGTATTTAGATATTAGATTTGTGGAAAAAGAAAAGGAAATGTATAAAAGCAGTAATTTTTTTTTTTTTTTTTTTCTAAACAAGGATAAAAGCAGTATGAGTAAGGGTTTTTCCTTACTAGATTTGTTGAATATAAAATTTGTTTGAAGATATATGTAGTGATATATATAGAACATCGGAGAAACAATCCATTTAACTTATTCCATTTTGACTATTTTACTTACATTAGATTTTTTTTACTCTTTGATTCAAGTTTTATAATTTGAATTATGTTTTCTTTTTTATAAACCACCAATCCACTCGAACCGCCAAGTTGAAACTGCCTTTATTTGCCAACTGAACTACCAGTTTTTGATAAGAAAAATGACAATTTCTAATAACAATTTTGTTAATTCGCCACCCGCCATGTGGTTTCTATTTTACCCATAAACCGCACCGAACCACACCGCGCACCCTTAGTTCCCACAATCAGATGTAGTAGTCAAGGACAAAACTAGATTGAATTATGAATTCTTAGCATTGCTATTCAATTTTGGACTATGTGGACGATTGTTCCCACAATCAGTCATAGTAGTCAAGGACAAAACTAGAATTCTCAAACAAAAAAAAGAAAAAAGAAAGGACGAAAAAGAGACAAGCATATAATTGATGAGTTAAATCAGTTTAATGTCATGTATTGAACCACATTGGATTTTAATATGATATTTGATTCAATTTAGTAAAATTAAGATTTGATTAAATTAAGCCCCAATTGGAATAGTCTAGAATATTGAGGGTGTATATGTATGTGATGTGCTGGAGCTCAAAGATTGTGTGCACATGTGTATTGTGATGAGCCATGAGGGGAGTGTATGTATTATTTGGTTGAGGACTTCATTAAGTCGGGGGGGCTATGGGGGGGGGGATTCATTTCATATGTTTTTGCTCAGGAAAGTTTGAGAGAGAGAGAGAGAGAAAAAAAACTCAACTTTAGAGAGAGAAACCCAAATTGGTGCTGGAAATTTAAGTGAAGCTCAAGGTTTTTGAGGAAGAACAAAAAGAATTAGAATGAATTCAACTAAACTTTCTGAAATTAAAGCTTAAGGTTGATCCGCCGAGGAGTATCGTCTGATCAAACACTGTGAGTAATGTTTTTGTAAAGATGTTTTCATATAAATGATTTCGAAAATGGCTATGCTATACAATGATATATGTGTAACAAGCCCGCGGGGGGACCTCGCTACAGCTCGGACTAGATTTTTTGTAGTCACGGTTCTAAGTCTGAACCAAGAGTCCAAATCCGGCAAATCGTTTTTGAGAAAAACTGATTTTTGAAAGAAGTGCCAAACATGGACTGCTTTGCCAGATACAGAGTCGCCACCTAAATATTTTATTTTTGGGAAATTTAGAAAACCCTGACTCGGTGCCAAAAGGCCACGTGTCCGTCATCACCAAAGTTGCCTCGGCTCGGGAACTTGGGTACGATTGGGGAAGGTCACTTCGTGAGCACCCCCGCTCACCCGGTCATAGACCGGCCTCTACTAACCATGATATCTATTTTTGAAAACAAAAATTGTATGCTCTTATTCCGGTTATTAGCCTAGGTTACTATGTGATGCGCAACAGCTAAACAGTATAGACTGGGTCGCCCAAATGGAACAGACATTTCAATGTTTGTTTTTGAAAGATGGTTTTGCTACTCGCAAGTAGGCTCAAAATGCAGATTTTGCCACCCTCGGGTGGGCTTAGAAAAAGATGGTGTTGCCACTATCTAGTGGCTTAAAACAAACAGTTGATGATTTATTCCAATTCAAATAACCCACCCTTCACCCACAGGCATTCAGGCAGTTATATCATATAAGCACATAGCCTCATGGTAAGCATGCTATTCATGGCATTCACTCACACGCATGCAAGGATGCTAAAGCATAAAGCTCACCGAGTACTCCAAGCCAAAATAGACACTTATTAGAAATCATGCCATGAAATCCTAAGTATACAGAAATGCCTAATGGCAACACTGCAAAATGCAACTATAGCAGGGCTCGGTTTATTCTAACATGGCATATGAAATGCTAAACTATCATGTATTACAACTTTGGAATTGAAAATAAATGCAGTTATAGTATGATGCGCCGAGCCCGGTGCAAATGCAATACAGATGGAAAATAATGCAACATGCTGTATGCTGTATTGCTAATTGAAATATGCCTAATCTAACCATCATAAGCGGTAAATTAAAGGGAGAAAAGAGTGGGGTTGGAAGACATACATCACACTCACGCACACTATTACGTTTGCGCATCGCGCAGAGGCCGAATAAATACTACGTCCAAATATTACAGTACCCGAGTAAAAGAATATTCAGTCCAAAATATTACAAATTCTAAATTAATTATGAATTAACTAAGAAAGCAAATATAAGCTGGCGTGCAAGCCAGGGACTGCCTTTGCTTCTAATGGATGATCGCATGTCCGGGTTGTCTTGCGCGGAAAATCACCGGAATGCCCCAATAGCCTCTGTTTTAGCACCTGTTCTCGAAATGCGTGCCTAAGCCCGCAAAAGGTTGCTGATTCTTCGTTTTGCTGCAACAGAGAGCAGGAAAGGGGCATAGCAATGTGTATTTGCACAAGATATATGCATGTGCCTCGTCTTCGTGCCATCATCACGCATACCGAGGCAATGATGGCCGAGGCAATCGAAATGCCAACTCAATGGATAGCATGAATGCAACATGAAATTACAGCTCAAATAACCTACCCCCCCATCCATCATGGATAACCGGAGTGTCGGTGACTGGGAAAATTGAGACACAATTCGTCACTCGGAGTACGAAATGTACCTCGTTTCCCGTGCCGGGGCTAACTCCTATTCCGAACACGATGCATATGCATGATAATGCATGAAATGCAACTAATGCAAATCCTACCATCCGAATGCTATGGAAATGAGACAGCTCGAATGCGTGCACTCGGGCACGCAAAACCGAGAAAAATGCAAGGATGCAATTAAGATACAACCTAGTATGCACTATGCTGTGAAAATGATATGCCTCGAAATG